ACAGTCTCATTTACAAAGAAAAACACATAATACAAGGTTTATGGTTTTGGACGTATAAATCGAAGTGGTTTAGTATAATAGTATAATATCCTCCAGTCTCCACACGTCTAGTTAAACTTAATATTCTTATCAAGAACGTAAAATGGTAGCTTTGGGATTTTATTGAAGAAATAATGTGCGCAGTTGTTGCAAAGGGTAGAAAAGTATCCCGCATTGCGACAGACCGTATGATAACATGTGCGTATCCGTCAAAAATAATAATAACGCCACATGCGGTTCCCCATTTTCAGGGAAATAATGTAATACGTTTGGTCTCTCGGAAAATATTGGAAATGTGTAAAACAATATAAGGAACGCGATTATGATACCACGGTGTGTATTTTTTCCCCTACAAATCTCGTCACGTATTGCATTTAATGTTTACGGTGCCCGATCGACGTGTTTCAGATGTCAGACGTGTCCGTGCCGTGTTGACATCTGTTCACGTTTGCTGATGTTAGCGTTTCCTATTTTGCATGCTCGTCCAGACTCAAATGTAATCCAAAATAGCCTGTATCGATCTACTGGATCTAATAATAGTAAACAATAATTTTTGGCAATTGTTATAAGTTATGATAATAATCGTTAACCGCTGTATGCCAGTATTTTTACATGTTATATATTACTGTACTAGTTATAATTTATATTATTGTGTGCGTAATATTATTATTATTATAATACGTATAAAGAATGACAGACTTTGGTATGTGTGGATGACTGAAGCAACGTCGTCGTTGGCGGCGGTGGCAGCAGCGGTGGCAATGGTGTGTTGGTGTTGCGCGGAGGGGATGGGGCGCGCTGGTCCTTGGAACAAATCAATACCTAACGGGAGGGAAACGGACGGACGGGAAAAAGGCGGCCTGGCAGCCGAGTGCCATTCCGCACCGGCTGATATTGTGTTGCGCGTATACATGTTTTTCTTCGTCTTCAATTCCAATTCGAGTTTTATACTGTTTTATATATTATTGCATCGTCGCGTTTCCTTCTCGCTCTTTGGTCGGCCGGCCTTGACGTTAGCCCCCTTCGCGCCTTCTAGTATACACTTATGTTGTATATACAAATGCTCTGTTCCGACTGAAATATTTACTCTAAAAAAACAATTGTTTAATTAAAACTTGGAACATTCCGGCGAACTTTTTATATCACCTCTGCTACTCTTACTGCCATCACCATTTCTACCAATCTTTCGCGAAACGCTTGGGGTGTTCGAAAAATCCTTAGTTCTTTCCGCGTATAAACTCGTATATACCGCATATGATTACAGTTTTGTATTTTCGAAACAGAACGTTATAGTGTTTATGCATCTGAAATGTCTAGAAACAACCAACATATTATGTGACAAGCCTATTTGGCTGTTAGGACTTACAAAATAGTTCTTGTTTGAAATGAGTTTGAATACTGAATGACTTACTTTTATTATAAAATACATGCTACTACAATGAGAGAAAATTCGTGAAATATATTAATAATATATTGTTCAATTGTAGAATAATGTCGTTTAATTTTAATTAAGTTACAAAGATCATCATTAAAAATGTTTTTCTCATACATATGTCTTAGACTATTTGAAAAATAATAATGGTTATTTTGCTTGTGTGTATATGTATTATTATTTTTTTAAACGCAACTTGGTAATTTTCCAGTGACTTTCAAGTCAATTCCCGTTCAACCCATCGTTGACCTTAAAGATACCAAGATATCGCCTCAGATTGTTTAGATACCCCGCAGTTATACTGTTATTCCTCCTGCTGTGCTATGATGAACTGTAATTTACTCAAAACGATTTGACACCTGAAACTTTATTACCTAACTGTAGTTAAAAAAAAACTTAAATATATTTTCTAATCTGAAAACAGTTAATGGTAACTGACTAAAAGATATTTTTTTAATGTTTTACATTATTTCAATGTTTTTCAAACATTGTATGATATTATGTTTAAGGATCTTCTATAAATCATAACATTGTTGAATTTGAAAAAAAAGGATTGAAAATTATATTTTAATATAATATGTAATTTTAAATTAGATTTAACATTAACTCATTATTACTTGCTATATGTTATTTTAATTAAAAAAGCAAATCTAACATTTACATTTAATATAACCAGCAAAATCTGTAACTAGGTACCTACCATTTGTTATTAACTTATAAAGTTTAGTTTTAAAATAAAATACATATAATCTGTGGAAATTATCATGATGAGTAGTGAGTACCTATACATTATAATATGCAATTTATCCCATTAATTCCCATACTTGAAGTATATTTGAAGTGGCCGATGAAAGATCTTTTCCACCTTTTTTGACGATTTATGATGTTAGCGGGAGATGATGCTGCTGCTATTGTTTATTTTACTCGGGCATGTGTGCGTGGAAAATTGTGATAAGTCGCGTGTACAAGTTATGAGATATGAGGGTTAACGCTTATGCGTATGTGTCTGTATATATAATTTATGTGATCTGAACAAAAATGTGTTTTGGTGTGGAGGAACACATGTTTTCACCAGAAATAACTAGTTTATAAATAGTGACAGTTGTGAAGAGCTGTTGGCTCTGTCCCTATTCATGTATGAATGTTCGATTATATTAATTTTTAAATATTGTATGTTAATTTGTAAACTTTTTGTTAAAAACATTTCAAAATGTTTTTTACTATTTTCGGACAGAAATCAGTTTAATTATTATGAGCTGTAAATAAATAAATAACATAGCTGTCTGTTTATAACTGTTTAGTTTTTATTAATGTTCTTATATTTTTCGCCCTATGTAAGACTTCATTATTCTTAATAGGGTAGTACCATTTTTTTTACCTTATGTTCAAAACCACAATTCATTCCAGAAACTGCGATAGCACGCGATGATACGTTATCCCCGCACTTTTATTTAGTGGCGTAAAATGAATCACAAATTATTATTTGACTACCTACCGTGATTTGTATAATAATATTAATAATGCATGAAAATGTAACAATTATATACTCTACGTTTATACAAGTTGATTCCTTTATACTAAACCCTGCAAAATTACGATACTGGAGTTTTTAATTAAGACGTTTAAGATTATACTGTTTTAAATTTTCTTTAATTTTAATATTTTTAATATTCTTCGTTATTAGATACAACAGTATTACTTTTAATAAATATATTTTTACTTTCAATTTTTATCCATCGATATTATAACTTCCGTGTAATCGGTTTCAAATTTAAAACTTACGTKTAAATCTAGATATATGGTTAATAATATAATATTTAATAATGTGAGCATTCAAAGACTAAATATTTCATTCATTAGTTAATACTAATGCAACCACCCCTAGTTCCCTACACATTMATGTATTTGAAAATCTTTAGAATTTTTCGCTCAGGCGAAAACTATATTCTAATCTAAGAATTTGATAATAGGTAAATTGCTCAAATGTGAATTATAAATAAACTTTAATAAAAATCCGGTACGTTTATTTTCCATGTTACATTTTGACACGTGAAAAAGAAAAGAAAAAGACAAACAACATTTAATATACTGGACGTTTGACATTGCAGCGGCTTTCCCTCAATATACACATTGTCTGTGTTCAATTCCATCGAAAAAATTCCTTAACTTTAATTTACTTTTATCTACCTATTCTAGATTTTTGGTAAGCTTTGCATAATTTTGTTACCGTATGGTTTGTCTTACCTAAATAACATATACTTGTCGTAAGTAAATAAGATTATGAATAATACTGAGTGAGATAATCTTTGTTTTATTCAAAGCTTCAAGCTTTATTCAACGACCCTTTTTGTGTAACAGAGAACGCCTGCTTAATTTTGAATTATTCATCATGCGCCAAGTGTAGCACTTTACCCTTTTCCGGTAAAACTTCCGCAAAGTTTCTGGGCGTGTTTTTAATATCACAACAATGTACAAATTAAAAAAAAAAAATCGATGACAAATTATCTAAGTTTGAATTTCAAAATAGTACAATTATTAAGGTTTTTCAACAAATTAAATTATGTAAGGTTAAAATACCCTATATGAGTTTGTAATTTTTATACTAATCAAAAGAACATGTATAGGACGAAAAAATATTATTTTTTCAAACTATTATTATTATGTTATTTTCTGTATTTCCAAAATATGTTTTGCTGTATTTAACATTTAGCTATTTGATAATATATTGAGTCTAATAATAAGTTGAAATTTAAGAACGCTACCTTTAATAACCAATAAAGTTTAAAAGTAATAAATTTCTATAATATTTATTTACTTTGTGAATTACATAATGAAATATCGTATAATAGTGTAGGCATCAGCATATATTTTATTCAATCATTTTTTCATTGATTAATTTCTAAAAAAAATTGTTTGTTTGCATATTTTTTCAAATACTTTTTAATATTTATAGTTATGATAAAATYAACAATGAAGTTTATAAAATTAATTTATTATACATAACCTAATATTTAATGAAAAAATTTAGTCTTAGTTGTGTAATAGAATTGTATTATTTTATATACGAAAAGTGATTCTGTAATCAAAATGTCTATTGGGGTGAATAAACAATGACTATAAATGCGTTGTATTATTGCATTATTTAAATACAAGTCTATGATCTATAGAGATCATTCGCATGCTAATGTTAATGTATGATATATGAAATTTTTTTATATTTTTATAGCTTATATTAATTTCATATAATATAGTATAAGAAATATATAATATTATGAGCAGATCCCATTCTTTTTCATAAAACATTTTTCAATGCACATTGAAAAGAATACCGAGGTGCACTATGCATAATAACTTCTGTCACGCGCGAAGCTCAATGTATCTTTGTATTATATTTATTTAATTTAAATTATGTMAAATTCTTTCAACTTAAACGTTGATTTTGAATATTATTTATTATTAAAACTTTTAAATGATCAACATGTGGTTTTTGCATATTAATAATAAAATGTTTAATGTGTTTTATTTATAGTATTAAGTTTAAGAAATACACAAGAAGAAGAACCACCAGATCCACAGTTGATGCGATTAGATAACATGTTAATTGCAGAAGGAGTAGCTGGTCCTGAAAAAGGAGGTGGTGCTGGAGCAGCAGCCAGTGCATCAGCCGCAGCTTCGGGCGGTCCCGGACAACCAGATAACGCCATTGAGCATTCCGACTATAGAGCAAAATTAGCTCAAATCAGACAAATTTACCACCAAGAACTGGAAAAATACGAACAGGTAATAAAGTTGACTAAGTTTACTTCAAAAGGTTTTTACTCTTAATCCTACCAAAGTATCAACTAGATTAAATTTGGTACTAGAAACTCGGTGTTGAAAATTTAAGTAGTTTTATTGTCCGAATGATGGTGATGACGACATACATCCAAAAAAAACATCATTGTTCCTAAGATCAATACTTTCGTTCTTCACTCAGAATCTATGATAAAAATTTAATTATCAAATGAAATATTGTTGTAACAACATAAACATATTATTCATATACTAATAATTATGAACATTCATGCATTTCCCCATATACCCTACTATATGGTGAACATGTTGCCATTATTGTTAGAAAGAGATAGTCAACCCGTGCCTTAAAATGTATGCTATCTTTTTTTAATGATGTTGGTCCCCAGTTCTGTCTCACTTCCATCTGTCCATTTTATTATTAGTCCACAGTTAACAACGAATTCAATTATTGTTAACATTTATGTATAATGTATTTAGTTCTTAGATATTAATTATTACATGAATAACACATATTGGGTCTTCTCTATAAGTCTATGACACGATTATAGTGTATTAAATCGCGATCTATTAAGTACTATCCAGGTAGTTTTTAACTATTAACCTAAAAATATTTATCAGTGCATGTAAATTTGTTTGAAAATTCTATATGAATAATTATAATTAAAACGAGCGTTCAAATCATTAGAAACTATATAATACATTCATTGAGCCGCTCAAAATCTAAAATTCAAATAATTTTTATTTAAGATTTGATAAAGATGAAATTTGTCTGCATTTTTTATTAAGAGGACGCCACACCCACATGTGTTGTTTCCCTCTTACAAGCGTGTAACATAGCAAGTTTTACGCTCAGCAGCTCCAATTTAGCTCCATTAGTTTACAATTTAGAGGGAATTGACCTCTTATAAGGAATTAAAGGTAACATTATTATCTAGGTTTTTACTTATTATATTTTAATTTTAAAGCAACTTATGAGTATTTTTAAAACTGTGAATTGCTTGTATATCTTAAAATACTCATAACTCACTTCAGAATTGAAATATAATAAAAAGCCTTTGTAAAAACCTAGATAATAATGTGACCTTTAATTCTTATAAGAGGTCAATTTACTCTAAGTTGTAAACTAACGGAGCTAAATTGGAACTGCTGAGCATAAAATTTGCCATGTTACGCACTTGAAAGACGAAGACAACACATGCGGGTGTGGCGTCCTCTTAACATTCCATTCTTTACGTAGTATCACAGGATACCCCCTTAAATCACGAGTCTTCAATCTATTAAATAACGTAAATGTCTGCCTTTTCACATATATTATATATTAATATAGATTGTAGATATATGTTATTAATAAATAAAATAAGATCAACATTTGTTATTAAAAAAGCTGCAATTTTAGATTTAGATTGGTTTAATAACGAAAAGTGTTGTAAAAATGTACCTCTGGGTTTATAGAAATAACTCAACCATTTTATCCAACTAGTATAACTAATTTTTTTWAAATAAATATTTTTTTTTTTAATATCGTAATATATCTTACAAATATATACAATACAATATTATAAAATTGTATATAGTATGGTTTTGTTAATTTGTAACTATAAACTATAGTTAAAAAATCGTTACTACAAACAATTTATATTATTAAGGTTTTAATTTAAAACTTCTTCTATATATTAGTAAATATTTTGTACATTTTATTTTGTATAGGTATATTAAAAAAAAGATTACTGTTAAATAAAATTGCTTAAATTTAACTTCTCTAAAAAAAATAAAAATGTCGAAACATTGAATCATTTCGTAATTAATCACTACAGCAATATTTGTATTGTTTAATAAGTATGCGTGTGTGTGATTTCCTTAGTTAAATCATTATTGGGAAGTCTATCTAAGTCAATTGTAGAAATTATAGTAATTTGAATTAACTAAGGGAATATCACTGAAGCATGCAATTATTTGAATTGTATGGAGAACTCGTAATTATACTACGTCAGAGCAGAGGTGACCAATATTACGCGTGATATTCCAGAGATTAATCGGCCTAACGACCAGATCTGCACGCAATAGTTTTCTATATTTTTATTGCTGAATACAATGATGTATTTCATAAATAAAATATACTTATTGAAATAAGTTTCGAGTTATAGGTATGGTCGTGTTTTTGTGCTTTCTCTTAAACATTTCGAAATCACATTTAAATATGTATTTGTCGGCCTCGCAGGACAAATTGCATGAAAAATAATCTACAAGAATACATAATATGTTAATAGTTATAACTTATAAAGTTGATATCCTTGAACCTGTGTTGTCTTGTGTTTAGTTTGACATTTAAAAACATTTATTTTGATATCGTGATATGCCACAAACGGTGTGTGATCAAACAAATACCGCGAAAAATGATTAATTATGTTTTTCGAATGGATATATTCATAAAGATAGGTTAGTTATAGACATTTAGACGTACCTATAATAAATATAATCATTTGCTTAATGCCGTTCCAAATAATAATATTTATCAAATGTAATGATTATTATGTCATACGGCTTACATCAAAGTAATCGTTTATAATATTTAATATATATTTAGACACATACTCACGATTTAACTATATTTTTAGGCTTGTAATGAATTTACTACCCACGTAATGAATCTCTTACGAGAACAGTCTAGAACGCGGCCGATCACTCCAAAAGAGATCGAACGAATGGTGCAAATTATACATAAGAAATTCTCTTCCATACAAATGCAACTGAAGCAAAGTACTTGTGAAGCGGTCATGATACTTAGATCTAGGTTTTTGGATGCTAGGTTTGTATTATAATATATATATATAGTATTATAAATCTATATAATCATGTTTCAAAATTATGTTTATTGTGTTTTCTGTTTTTTTTTTGTTTTTTTTTATATAGAAGAAAAAGACGTAATTTTAGTAAACAGGCTTCCGAAATTCTAAATGAGTACTTTTACTCGCATCTAAGCAATCCATATCCTTCCGAGGAAGCAAAAGAAGAGTTAGCAAGGAAGTGTAGCATTACAGTGTCACAAGTGCGTATTTTTTTTGGGGCCATAAACGCCGTTGAGACATTTGTGAATAGTCATTAAAATATTTGTATTTAACACAATACAGGTGTCCAATTGGTTCGGAAATAAAAGAATACGATATAAAAAAAATATTGGTAAAGCTCAAGAAGAAGCAAACCTTTACGCCGCAAAGAAAGCTGCCGGTAAGTATTTATAATTTCTTAAACGACAGAACGACTTGAATGAACTCGCATAATATCTAACTGTATTTTAGTATGGATAATTGACAATAAATATATTAATTACTTCTACAAACTATGGATACACAAATAAATGGCATTTCCAATATTGTCGTTGGTGTTATTTGACAGGGTCAAAATGTTATTTTTACTGAAGGTATTTTCACAGATTGTAGTCCTTATTGGTGTTTAAAACATAAAGAGAAAAACATGTAAATGGGGAAAGGGTGAAGTTTACTATAGGGATTTGGATAGCGATATATACACACTGGCGGTGTAAGCTCCAAATGGAAGTAATATATCATTGAGACCCTGGCTTTGAGCTTGACAGCCCGAATGGTTTTTCCTGGTTTCCTCATTGTCCCGTACTACACCCTCCATACAATGCGATTTATATACATATATATATTTTTTAAGTGAGCATGTGTGTTTGTTGCTAGCGCGTGCGCTCGCCCGAGCGTGTTGTACACTGTTTCTTTTATACAAAGATGTGGTGTCACCTGCCAATGATTACACAGTTAGGTTCCATGCCATAAATTAATATTATGTAATATTCAAAATTGTTGATTAAACACGATCATGGATAAAATATTTTTTTATGGTACAAATCGTTTAACCGTAGATTATAATAAATAATATAATACCTACATTGATTATTGTATACAGTGCGTATTTAGCACTGCTTAACTAGTAAAAAATTGTTCGGCCTCAGCAATTTTAAAACACTTCGTATTACTGTGAGCAGCTTTATCTCTACCCTCCAACTCCCTTAAAAATTGTGATCACCAAATCAGCAAATATTTTGTAATATACAAAATCAAAAGTTATATGTTTCTTCAACAGAATTTACAATGTAAATTAGCTTTTTTTTATTTTTGTAACAATTTCAATATACAATTTCTTCATTCAACTAATTTCATAAACTAAATAAATTAAAGAATCTTTGAAAATGTTTTAAGAATTTAAAACAAGGCGATCGTCATTATGTCGGATAGAATAACATACCGTTCTACTAATATCTTAACTCCATTTAGGAGGACTCTACACCCACATGTGTTGTCTCTGTCTTACATAATATGCATAATATTGCAAATGTTAGTATTGAGTTCTTACTACAGTTTATTTATTGTTATAATATATTAAATGTCTGAATATTTATCGATTTTTTGTAAAGAATATAAACTGTGCTTGAATAAGATTTTTGTATACTTTTATTTTAAAGTTAATTAAAACTAATTTAATAATATACTAATTATTTTTAATTCCACGAATTTGTGATAAAACATGAAAGCAGTTCTTTGMTTTGGCTCAGTTCATATTATTATCCTATACTAATTCGATAATATGTAAATTGTCTAATATCAACTATAAATAAACTACTAGAACACAGGTAGATTTAGAGAAACTGCAATAAGACAAAGACAAGTTGACAACACATGCAGATGTAGTTTCCTCTTAGAAAAGAATTTGGAGTATACTTGGCCCCACTACACAGGCTCTCAGCATAGCACTTTAAAGTCAAATATTGTAATCAGATTCAATGTTTTAATTTTTTTTAATTATTCTTTAATCAGCATACATTTTGATGAGAAATTTAACCAAGTTATTAAAGAATAAAGGATAATAATTAATTTTTTCAAAACATTTGTATTTAATAGTTATTAAAAATTCGCCCAAACATATGGAGTTAAGTACMAAGTTCTTAATTTCTTTATCAAACAAAAAGATTGATTCCAAAAAATAGTATACTACAGCATACAAAGATATACATTCTGTACTAACAAATAAATGATAAATTGTTTAATGTATATATGTTATAAATTGAGTATGTATATTTTACGTAAAAGTAATATCTAGTCAGTTTTTATTAAATTAAAATATCTAGTATATATCCTATCATAGAATTAATCAATTTTAATAAAAGAACTTGAAGAATTATTGAAAATTTCCAAATATAGAAGTATCATTGAAATACTTATCATCCCAGTTAAATTTTGAAAGATTATACATTAATGATATTAACTAACTATTTGTAGTGGCTCTGGATTGAATAAAATATAATTTATTGCACTAATAATATTTTAATATGGCACAGGGTTTAAAAATAATATAATATTTAAACCAATGTGGATCCTTGATACTAAATATTTCACTAATATTTTTAAAAAATTTACTTTTTGTAGGCGCTTCCCCTTATAGTATGGGTCCTGCTTCTCAAGGAACACCAACTCCTTTATTATCTCCAGCTCCTGGTGGTGGTCCGCAAGACAGCATGGGCTACAGTCTTAGTTTAAATGGTGCTGAGTATAGTTCTCCTATGTCTGGATCACAGGTTTGTGTGCGTTATATTGGTTATATATGTTATATAATTATTGTTTATAAATGTCTTAATCTCATCGAAAAATTAATTTTACAGGCACAGTATTCTGATGGAAGTTTAGGATACGACCCAATGGGACACCAGGTGAGCAATTGTGAATAACAAATAATTAGGCAGCATATCATATGTATGTGTTTTTAGTTAAGTTCATACATGTCATACCTGTGAAATAAATGCGCTATTGTCGGAGTGACATGTATGGATTTAACCAATATAACAGATAAAACGCCCACACATGATACGTGTCTACTGTCTATGTCAAATGTTTCTTAACTTTTAACAAGGGTACTATCAATATATAAGATTATACAATATAATTTTATTGTGGCAAAAAATCTATATTTGTATGGCAGTAATTTTGCTTAAGGATTTAAAATGATATTTTTTTTATACTTTACAGGCAATGCCTAAAAACTCTGGTTCACCATCTACAGGTTGGAACTCCAGTCATGAATATCAGACACATGGCATGCATGACGACAGCGAAGACTCGTCAGATGATGTTGATATAAAACGCCCAAAATTGTCTTAAAATTTTTATTCTTAATAACTAAATTTGTTCATTTTTTTACATATATATATATAAAAATGATTGCTTAACTTAATATTTTAGACATATGTGGGTGAGAATAACTGGCCTTCAAACTTTGTGTATGTTCTAAAAGAAACACTCATCTCACTCTAACTAATTACTATTATGGATCTACTGTAATGACGAAAACGAAAGACTTAGGCCTTTGGTGTATGTGCGTGTGTATTTCAATCCCAGCATACATCACATATATTATAAGGGAGCGTATATGTATAAATAACGTTAGTCTAATATTTGGGATTACCATACTGAAATTCAGTAGAGACGGTTTTATTACGAAACTATTTTTTAGTATCTTATTATTATTATCATTATTAATTATTATTATTATTATTATTATTATTATTATTATTATTATTATTAATATTTTTATTGAATAATTATATGATAATATTAACTTGAGCTTTTTGAACGTTTATCGTTCATCATGTAACTTTGGTATACGTATATTGTGCACATCACCAGATTATTAGTAATTTATATAGAAAAAAATATGATAATAATATTATTATTGTTGATTATGTTAAATGACACATTTTTCTACTATCTGTGATCTCAAAGGAAAATCAACACATGCATCAAAATCGAGTACAATCATGTCCAGTGTTTTTCTCCTTTTTCACCAAGTATACGATATACACACGGTAATATTATTATTTCTCATGATATTTAAAAATTTAAATTTTTTTAAATATTATACGAGTTGTTAATAATTGTTTAGTATTTATTGTATTGAACGAATAAGTAGCATATTTTTTAAGGCACCATGACTAGTAACCTTTAAATTTTTAAAGCTTTTTTTAAATTTAAATAAGAAACATATTGCAGTTTAATGTATACGATATTTGTAAGGTAATTGTTGTTTGTGAACTGTGCATTTTCTTTCTTTTTTTGGTTCATTTTTTCCTTTTTATTTTTATGCTATATTTGTATGCTTTTTATTATAACTATTAATAATTATAATATAATAATAATAAAAAAAAACTATTATTATAGTTCTCTTCTCCCTCTCTTCCTTTTTATGTACTACTATAAAATGTTTATTGTTAGTGATGAAAAAATTGACACGGTTTGACTATGATATTGATAAAAAAAAAATAACTACCTTCAAATACTAGAACATGAGTGTTTAAGTTTACTTACTGAAACCACTTGTAATAGTCTTCTGGACTATGTTTAAGTTTCTTTATCGATTCATAGTAACCGTGTGTAAACATTATGTATACTTTTAACATATTATTATAATACTATAGAACAGTGTACTGATTTCAGTATTGCTCGAACGACGTTATACTTATGCATTATGCATCATATTATAAATATATACATATATATAATTTTTTTTTTGTACGTCTTGTGAACTATACCACCTAGATATACTACTGTATTATTATTTTATATTAATTAGTTTACTTGTAATTTTAAATGTAATTCTAAAAGTAAACTTTTGTATTATATCCAGTAGAATAGAATTTTGTTTTCCGACTCCTAATTAAGATGTGGTATTTATTTTTATTCATATTGTCGAGTCCCTGTGTATTTAATGTATGCATAATAGGTGTTTAATAGTCCCTATACGCGTATAATATGTATTTGTCGTGTGTGTGTGTGTGAGTGTGTTAACCTGGATTCCTCGTCAATTTCTACACACATTGAAAAAGCCCAATAATTAATTATTACTTATCATACATTTTTTTTTGTCTATCGAAAACTTTATTCTTTTATACTATATAATATTATGTTGTATTAACTAATCATGTAAATCTATGTTGTCGATAAACTCATTTTCTTTTGTGCATAAAATAGTATTAAAATGGAGATATTTTCTTGCCGCGAGTTATTATGTATGTCGACAAACAGTAAAAAACATGTATGGGATTTACATTCATAGACCGTATTAAAAAACGGGTTGTGTCATACTCAAATTATGTTCTTAACCTTATAAATTCTATGAATATACATATAATACTTTTGTATACGATTTAATATTTACGAAACTCAAACAATTAAGTATTTGTTCGTGGACTACATTAAGGATTTTTTTTTAAAATACTTTAGACGCCTATATATTATATATTATGTATAATTATTAATTAGGGGCTGTATTAGGTAATAAAATATTATGAATGAATATTGTACAGTTTCTGAAGAAAACAAAATTATAACGCTTGTAATTTAGAAACGAAAATTAATTTGTTATGTATATTATTGTTTCCTTACTGTATCCATGTTCCATATAATAACCATAATATTTTAATAGCCAACCAAATACTGAAAAATATTTGAAAATTTTAATATTTTAGAAGAAACCCCTAATTTCATTTATTTTTGAAAAAATTCAGGACCAACATTTTATTTTTCAATCAGTGTACTACTTGTATAATAGCCAATAGGTATATTATATATCTATTATACAAAATGTATGTGAATATAACAATTCTATTTTATGCTATTTGTTTAGATTTTGGTGACCCATTGCTGTAATAAAAATTACTGAGTTTTTGATAATTTGCAACAATTTTGGAAATAACTGAATTCATGTAAAATAATAAAATTTATTATGAAACCACAAATTTCTATGACGAACATTTTAGATTAAATGGATAGTTTATTAGTTAAAATAAACACACAAGCTGAGATCTTTTAATAGAACTTTTTATCCGCATATATATGGTCACCATTATGGGAATTTGCCAATGTGGACCAGTGGGTATTTTCTACTGTGTAGTATGTAAAAAAAATTTTTTTTTATAAAATTTGCAATTTTGACAAAATGTCAACTTCAAATCTTTGTTTTAATTATTGTGGATGTACCCTTAATTTCCACAACTTATGATTAACCTTGCATTAAATGTTCATGTATTTTATTTGGAGTAAAACATTTTTTTCAACAACTAATATAAATACTAATAAAACCAAAAATTTTCTTATACCTACACATAATTTATGTGTCAAAATATTTTGAAAATTTCTTGGTGTTTGGAAAATGTTTGAACAAACATTTAGTAAAACATTAAAGTATCTATAGTTTAGTCATTAGTTTTTGATTTACACCAAAAAACTGGTTAGATTTTTTGATGATTTTGAAAACAGCTGGTAATTTTTTACTTTCAACTCTATTCACATTCCCATCAGAAGAGATGCTGTACTAAAAATTGGTGTATTTTTATTGGCCTCAGAATCTCAAACTATAAAAATTGTATTTTAGAGTGCTTTACAGGCAGATAAGTATAACACCTAAGTATAATATTGAATGAATTATTGTGTAGAACGGTAGGCACAACAGAAAAGACATTACAACTTACGTAACAGTAGTCTATGAATTAACAGCTTACACCAACTACAGGCAATGTGGAATGAGGATTTTGTAACACTAATGTATTAACACTTTAAATTGATCAATAACATATTTGTTTTTATATTACAAACATAAAAATATATGTGTGTATTGTTTATATAATGTTTTATCACCGCTATTCATATGAAAAATATTTACTCAATTTATGAAAAACAAAATTCAGAAGCACATACTGTATGGTACATAATATACATTATATAGGTAACATTTAAAAATAATAGAAATAGAAGAAAAATCAGACATGACAATAGGTAAAAATGTTTGGTTGGTTTGTTTTGAGTAACAAAAACATGATTAAAATAATATGTTGAATTCAACAAATGTTATATATGACATATATGATATATCATAATATAAATATATGCATGTGCACACACATACATGTGTATATATATTGTCCCTTGGTTGCACGTAGTAATCAACAAAATTCAACATTATAATAATAAATCATTAAATTAAAAAATTAAATTGTTTTTTTTTTTTTGTACATTCTATTAACTTTAGATAAAGCCAGCAGCTCCTCTATAGTTATTAGCTTCGGATGGGTACAAATAGTCATCGCTCCAATTAGACCGGGATAATGTAGGTTCAGATGTTGTACGTTGCAGTTTTGGCATAGCGTGTATAATGCTTTGTATGGATATAGCGACGTCTTTGAATTTTGGCCTGTCTTCTCTATCGAATTTGATACAGTTTTCCATTAATTTGCGTAGCTCGGCTGGTGTGTCTGACCTGACTTTTTTTAAATCAGGTCGTAAATAGCCCCTGCCTACCATAAAAATTATCTGATCTTTATTATTAATTTCTGTGTAAGGCAGCTGACCAGAAAGTAACTCATACAGCACAATGCCGTAGGCGTATACATCAGATTGAAAACTGTAAGGGTTGTCTACTTGCATCCGGATCACTTCAGGTGCCATCCATAGAATAGATCCAGATGGTTGATGATACTGTTGACCACCGGACCATTTAGATTTGATGGTAGCCAAACCAAAATCACCAATTTTCACAACAGAATCATTGAAAAATATATTGTTGCTTTTCAGATCCCTGTGTATAATGCTTTTAGAATGGAGATAATTCATACCAATTGCAGTTTGGCCAGTAATTGATATCAATTGCATTGCCTCAAATCTAAAAACAATGAAAAATATATGTTGTAACTATGACTAATGCTACAAATTACAATTCATAAGCAATAGAAAATAGAATAGTATATTTAATTTTGTTAAATATACAATAATGTACCAATACTTTATCAACTAACATTAATATCATTAAGCCATTAAAGTATGCAAAATAAAAAATAAATCCTAATTCTGCATCAATATGAAGCAATTTGTGGTCATTACTAACCACGTTTGAAAAATTATATAGCAATATAAAACATACCAATGGGCATAAATTTTAGCTCTAGTTAAATGATTACTCACACATAATTATTTCTAATATACTTTTTAAGAAGATGTCTTGGATGAGTATACATTTTGCTAGTTAAGTAATTAACATCAAATATGTGAATAATTATACATTATTATTGTTAGTATTGTAAACATTTATAATGATTTTTCAGGTTTTTGAAAGTGGTCTAATCACTTCTTTGCAATTGAATATTATTTGAAGACTTTTTTGTAATTTTTATATTAAATTAAGTTTTAAGATCAATCAAGTATTCAAATAAAAATGGTTAGTTTCGCTTTAAGTATCCTTAATAAGTTTCTTTTCTATATACTAGACACATAAAATCTATACAATACACCAAACATACACAGTGCTTAATGAGTAGTACATCTTCTAAGCAAAAAAAAACAATGAGTGTAATGATTTGATGTAATGTATCAAAACGAAGAACTACATCCAAAATAATGATATTACAATATCTAAAAAWAATAATAGTAATAGTATCACCTTATGTGATGATAAATATTTTGTATTATCTTCATAAATATAATGTAAGTGTAATAAATTGTTGGTTTCATTACTGTTA